AAAAAAAGGTGCTTCAAACTTCCATTAGAGAACTGCCGAATACCTTGAAAATGCGAATGTGGTTCACGGTATAGATCACATTGCGAATCCCAGTGTTGTCGTTAGACGGATTCGAAAAGCGGAGCACTCTCACATGGGAAACTGGAAAACGCTGAATAACAAAAAGTAACCAAGAAAACGATTTATAGTGGCCTAACTTCCACGTTCGCTCACAACACACGTTTGGAATAAATACTGAAAGGAAACCACTACATGAAAAAGCAGTAGCTTCATGAAGGCTGGAATGGACGCTACTATATCTACAGCCATGATCCCTTCAAGTTATAAACCGTAGGAAAGAGCTCAGCCTTCTTTCCACCCAGTGATCCCACCCTGAGCTGCTTCAACTGGTGGGAAATCTGATGTGGATTGTGGAGCATGACCTGGATCTGCGCTCCAGGTCATGCTTCCGTCAACGCCCTCTCATTTGAGGGGATCATGACTGTAATCATTAGGTGAAATAATGCAGGTTTTCGACCTCTATATTCACAACGGAATTTCCCAGCATTGTGTGAATTTTTTTGGATTGAATGAAAATCATTACAATCTACAGTTCTTTCTCAAGAAGGGCAGGTGGTATGTTTTTTGCAACGCTAAGTTGCTCCACAGCAGCTTAACTCGGTGAGGCGATTTTCCACTGGGACTAGGTTTACTAAGCATTTCTCGCACAGAATATATCCAAGTGCTCGAAGGAGTGATAATTGGCTGCAAAGAGGTTTTACAAATATTGTGAGTGAGGCCAGCTTTGACGGCTTAGCTCCTTCAGATTTTGCAGGACCTCTTAGCACTCGCTGTGCTACATGTGGCCGCGCCCTTCCATGGAGATGGAAGAAACTTTACTTCTGACCTATGTCGTATGCCGATGTTGAACCTTTTGATGTACAATACTTCACCGATTGCTTGGTTGCACTTTGATGCCGTAATCGCTCCTCTCGGGTTCAGAAATCTGCGTCACCAATAACGAGCATCACCATTCTTTGACGCAACTTCAGTTTG